TTCCCTTCCCTTCCCTGACATCTTTCCCTTCCCTTCCCTGACATCCTTCCCTTCCCTTCCCTGACATCTTTCCCTTCCCTGAGGGAAAGGTGCCCCATGTGAAATAAAGCTGAGAATTCCAGCTTTATTCATGTATCCCACTGAGAATTCCATCTGTGCCTCGGTGCCTCCTCCATCCATCCACTCCTGCTCTCCACCACACGCTCTCTCTCCAACATTTTTATCTATCAATTACACATAAAAATTGGTACACTGATGTAAAACAGTTACATTCTCTTACCATCTTTGCCAGGAGAAGCTGTAACCTGCTGCACAGAAGATCAGGCAAACTTGACAGGAAACTTGTGTGGCTTCTGGGTAGTGGGGTCCAGATCAGCATTAATAAAAATTTCAGATGAAAATGTAGTTTTTCCTGGACTTTCTGTTGTTATCTGAGTGACTGCATCAGAAAATAACTTTCCAGAGGGGGTCTCACTCTGTTCTTGTGAACTAACAAAAAAGAGCGCCGGCAGGTCATGTCTGTGGCCAAGAAGACTTAAGAAAACACAACTATAAACATGATGATCTCAAACGTTGATAACTTATTTTTATAGTACCCTTCATTTTGTTAATACACATTAAAATGTGATCATTCATGTGTTTATTTTTATTTATTCTAAAGTCTACTTTCAATTTGAGTTTATAATACTGTTATATAAGTGAGAAAATAGTACTTTTCAGTTGAAATTAAAACACATTTTTGTTGTTGTTTTAGGAGGGTTGGGTTTTTTGTTTTGTTTTGTTTTTTTGTCTTTTTGAGACAGGGTCTCCCTGTAGCCCCAGCTGGCCTGGAACTCACTATATAGACTGGCCTTGAACTCACAGAAATCTGCCTGATTAAAGGTGTGTACCACCACGCCAAGCTTATTTATTTTTAATTAGATAATTACTATAAACACATACTAAATGCTTAGTAAGTACAAGGAATAACAGTACTTCCCACAAGGGATTTGTATTTCAGTGGGAGAACCCTTGGTTCTAAATTGTGTGTGTGTGTGT